ATATTATCACTTTGTTTTCAATATACGAGCGACATTGTATTAATTTATTTTTAACGAAATAAAATTCTTTATATTTGAGATTACAAAACAAAAATATTAATAAATTATATTTAAAAAATATAAAAAAAATAAATCATATTATAATTTTACAACAGAAAAATATTGTAATATAGATATTTGTTATATACTTTATAACCAAAATCATTGTTTCTTCGAAGTCATCGAATTATTAGTATAATCACCAAGAGATTCTCATTGCAAAATAATATATGTAGCGTGTTTTCAAGTGGTTTTTATTTTGATCTTCATATGAAGCTTTTATAGACTTTCACATAGAATATAGAATATAGTGGTATAGATTATATTTCTACTTTTGTAGAAATCTGAAACAAATAAAAAATAGTACAGATTATAAAAAACAAGTATTAAATGTATAAAGATATAAAGTGTATTACATATTTAATATAAATAACGTATATCATAATTTTTTAATATGAATAATGCTTACTTTTATTTTATGTTTGTTACATGTTATCTGTAGCAATATTCTTGATCTGATATGTTTCTCAATTTATTAAAAAGTGACAATACTTTGTATTTTGTTGACACCTTATGAGATTTTGAACCACAAGCTGGATGAATATTTAAAAATATATTTTGTAAAAATTCTAAGGTACATGTACTATTTTTGGGATATTCCATATTGAAATGTAATATACAGTATAACCGTATCGCGCGGAATTCGCAGCGAATATCCATTCGTCGCGGAAGGAGAAAAGTCTCCTGCGGAATATCGGTTACCTTCGGCGCGATCTCTCCGTTCGATCACAAAAAAAAATTTGCAACAAACCAAAAAAAAAATAATAAGAGAAAACTAAAATCTCAATTTAGTTGGGCGCCAGGTGCGGCGGCCGCACCGTCTCTCAATTAATAAATTCGCGGGACGCTAAGTCTTAATTTCCTCGGACCTCTTGTCCTAGCCCTTTCGCGGGCGTCAATCACGGGAGAGAGAGAGATCGCGACGGCAACTTTCCCGCTCGGCTAGCCTCTGTGCGGGTAAGGGTTCGGGTGCGTGGCGGCAAGAAATCACCCTAGGAATTAAAGTTAGTAAAACATATATTTAACTTTGGTTCACAAGACACATGAGTATATAATATAAAGAAATAAGCGGCGTGCACAGACGCACGATTGAGAGTTCGGTGGGGCACTACGCCCGGTGGTTCGCCGTGCCGAGTTATGAATAATCTTTAACAAATTCGCGGCAACAAAGTAGGGTCCCCAATAACGAAAAGACGATTAATTAAATCGGCGACGCGCCACCGGGTATATGGCTCCACGCCGCGGGCGCGTGATCCGCGCGGTATGCGCGACAACAAAGGGGCCGGCGTAAGGGCGCACCGCGTGCGCCGTACATAATTTCCACACACAAAATCAAACGTAATCACGCCTTTTCGTTTAAGCCTTTACAACCTCAATACTTTACAACATTAATACTTTACATTATCAATACTTTAATGAGCCTGAAAGCGTTTATGAGCTCTTTGATTTTCGCTTCGAACAATAATCGGCAACGCGTAAATCGCGGTAATTTTCGCGCGACAATGTTACGCGCGAAGACTGTCCATGCGGGAGAGAGAATACGCGAAAACGCAAGAGAGTGGATGGATCATAGTTTCTCCCAATGGAGTTTCGTTACGTTAATACCGTGACTCGACGATAAAACGAATCTCTCGTAATTCTATAACTGGCCGGCAACTAAGTCCGGCATACTCTCTTAACGATAAGTAATTCGGGACCCATCCACTCGGCTACCTTAATTCGGCGACAGCAGGATGACCACGTCGTCTCACCAGTCCTATAACGATCCTTATCGTCCTCTCCTCTTTCGCTCTCCCTAAGTGCGCTTCCGTCTCGGGACCTCCGCTCTCTTCGGGCGCTCGCTAGACAGTGCCGAACCGGGGGCCCTCAGGAGACACGTCGGTGACCCAATTATGTAGATAGGCCACTCGCGGCGCTATCAGGTCGGCCGCGCGCGCGGCCTCGGTGATCCTTGCGGCCGCGCGCGTAATTATCCTTACCCGCGGAGTCCTGATCCGCGGGTTGCCCTTCGTAGGCGGTCGTCGCGGCAGCGCACGGCAGGGCCGCTCCTGGCTCTCCTTCGGGATTCCGGAAGTCCCGGGGGCGGCAGCTCTCCTGCCGGCGCTCCGTATGCGGGGACTCGGGTGCTTGTTGCACCCGAGTGGCCATCCCCTGTTCGCCCCGGGCATGTCCCTGACGAAGGGGGTCCCCGTCGTCTGCTTCCTATGCCTTCCCTTTTCTCCTCCAGGTTTTCTCTATCGGCTGAGACTCGTCGCACATCCTGTCTGCCGCCGAAATAATCCTAACTCTCAACAAAACGAAAAAGAATATATGGAAACGCGTAGCAGCGGGTTCGCGTCCGATCCCGCGCTTTTCGCACGCACGCTCTCTCTCTCTCTCTCACTGTCTCGGGAGAGCAGAGGTCCCGTGCCCTCCCCCGATCGGGCCATTCAGCCCTTGTGACGGACAATTTCAATTTGTCACGTCACAACAGACATCAACATTTTTAAGGCTTCATAAAAGCAATATGTCCTTTCAATCAATAATTTTTCTATATATAAATAAAACATTCGACATGCTGGATCATCTGTAATAATTAAATATATGATAATTAGAGCAGTCACAAATATATATTAATTTACTATACTATAAAGTCAAAATATAATTAATACAATTATATAGCGAAATTACCTATGATTATAATACATGGTGCTACAACTGGTGGTTCTATATTTTCCAAGGGTGTTGCTTCCTGTTTAATAAATTAACTTTAGTTAATAAAATGTAAATTTGACACATTCATAAAAAAATTAAACACAAAACATATTTAAAAAATATTTACAGGATATGTTTTAAATAATTCTTGAAAATCTTCTTTAAAATGTTTCATAATAATTTTTATCAATTTTAACTCTGTAGGATTATTTGAATTAATGATATCTTTATATTTTTTATGCTGTCCATAAATAAGTATTTTGTCTTGTTTTTTTAAGATTTCTTGCTTTAGAAGATCTACTGAATGTCCCATTAATTGCTCGTAATGCCAAAACATATATTTTTTTTTTAAAGAATTGGCCATGTAGTTTTAACATCTTCAATAGTAGGTGTTTTATAGACATCATTAAGAAACAATCTTTGCGCCGGATATGTAGCTTCAAGATACAAATTAATTTTATGTTGAATCTTAGGATCGCTTGATGAATCATCGTGAACTATTTGACGTAGAAATTTAGCCTTGTCCTCTATTGTCTCTTCTGTTTCTGTGTCAATATATTTTTCTGGCTGCCAATTATTACATCCAGCTTTAGCAGATAATACTTTTTTTTGTTTTTTTAGAGGTATATTTAAACTTTGACTTAGACATCTTTTCATATGTGGTCTATTTAAATAAGAATTTCGGTCTCGAAGTTTTAAATATATTGAATGAGATCCGTCTCCAAAACATCTGCCATCCTCATCCATATCTTTGAAAATTTGTGGATATTTATCGACATTGAAAATTTTGTTTAAAATATGTTTTCCTCGAATGTGTATTTCGAAGACAACCATTTATAGGATTATGAACATTTAAAAAGAAAGAATAACTACGTTGAAAAATATCTTTAATTTTTTCTTTTATATCGTCTTTAAGATCGCTTTCATTTAAAGTTGTAATAAAGTGTTCTTGAATAAGTGTAAATATAGATGACATACCATCTATTACAGCTTGTAGAGCAAATTCTGTTAGGAAATATTTTGTAGTCAAATTTAAATATAATTGTGCTATAGCTTTTTCATTATTGTTCACATCACACAAAAATTGATTTAAACTTTCCTTTTGCAAAAAAAGATTGTCATTATTACTGGTATCAAAATTACTGGTATCAAAATTATTGGTATCAAAATTTATCAATTCTTTATTAGTAACAAATTGCTTATCAAAATTATCACTTGGATGATGTCTACATATGTGTACTGTATAAGTGCTGACTGTTTTGAAAATTTTATTAGTAGAACAAGCTGGATATCCGCAATAAATCCCAATTTTACTTTGTCTTATATGTTTATATAAATGTTTATTAAAATTTAATCTATCGTTAAAATGAGCATTGCAATTTCTTTCTTTACAACAATAAGTTATGCATGTTTGTTTTTTATCTGTTGAATGCTGTCTAAAAATATGTTTCTTAAAATTGAGATATTTATTAAATTGTTGCCTACAATTTTTGAACAGACAAATTATTTTTAAATACGGCATGTCTTTATGAAGAATTTGGTGCTTATTGTACAAAAGTATAGATGAAAATACACAGTTGCACATTAAACATTTGAACATTATTAATCAAAAAATTGTATATCAAAGGAAGGAAAAAATTGGATTTATGAAGGAAATTTTAGATATATTCCAAAAGTAATAACACTGTAACATTTAATACATAGAATTATTAAAAACGAAAATAAAACTATCAAATATAAATATTTTATATATAGTATATGTTCATTAACTCAGAAAATAATTATATGTGTTGTGTTTTTATATTCTCTCTTATATAGTCATTATTTTGTATTGAATTATATTCAAGATATCTAAAAATTATTCAATTTTTTTGTATAAATTATTAATGATTTAGTAATATGTTTTAGTTACGAAAAAATAATACATTTACAATTATATTGAATTTAACTAATTACAAAACATTGAATATAAAAATATAAAAGCATATGCACATAAAATGTTTTATATATGAGTTGATATTGTGTGTGTGTATTATAATAATATTTGTCATATTTAGTGTCAAAATTCAATAAAAAAAAATCGATGAATTTTTTGCAACTTTTGCAATATAGATCTCAAAATAATTAAATAAATAAACTATCGAGCTTACCTTTTTTTTAAATTGAAACTTTTGAACAATAATAATATAATACAGATTATTTTTTTCCTTCAGTCTTGTAGAAATGATATTGCAACGTATCACGTTCACATGCGCACCTATATATAACATCATAAATATATATCATTAATTATATACATATAATATTTTAGGATATACCTAATAACACTTGAGAAGGGCCCGTACCCTAAGGCCGAAACGTGTACAGAAACAATTTTTTATCGACAAGTCAGGTCGAACTATTAATAAACAAAACACTATGATTTTAGGTTACGTTAATTGTACAAAAAATAGCTGATCTAAACAATGCGATGGAATTAACGCGATTGCGACTAGATAAAAATTATACTAGTATGTAATATTTTTAGATTACATTTTTTGTTTCTATAGCCATGTATATATACTGTGTAAGAATTTAGCACATGCCATATAAAACATTTTTTCACATGCCATATGAAACATTTTTTCACAATATTTGTGCGCGAAATGAATGAATATCAAACAAGGAATCGCGAGTATATACATAAAAGACTTAAATTTAATATAAATATAAATATATTAAATAATTTCACTATTAAAGTCTATGTACAAAAGACCTACTATTTTTCCCTTTGCTGATTAACCTATTGTACGTGTTTCGAAGAAAATTAATAAAATATTATAGTTACCTTTCTTGTAGAAAGTTGAAACGTAGAAGGCAAGTAGACAAAAATGGATCTTTTCCTTTTCTTGTGCGGAGAGACACTCTAATACGCACTCGTAATATACACTCGTAAGACGTACTTGATATACGCATCACTGTTGATCAGTTAATAAGAACAGTAACATGTCGCGACGTGATTGCCAAAAAGCGGGAAATGCGACAACAGCGCTCCCCACTTCCACCTATGATCGCGTAATATAGCGCGCATGGCATACGGATATACCACACGATTTAGAATATTACGGTTGTATTTCATAATATTACAAAAATTTCGATAATTACATAAAATATTTAAAATATTACATTATTTCGTAAGTTTCCATGTAAAACAAGATATATTTACACAATAAAAGACAAATATACATAATTTTTGTGGAATTACATAATTTCTGTAAAATTACATGATTTTTTATATTTACCAGACTAGTCATGTAATTTTTACATCTATTATTTGTGTAAATTTACTGAATTATTTTACAGTGTGCAAAGGATATTATGGAGGAAGGATTCAGAGACCGAAATCAAGGAATATTGGCTGACTACAGTAACTTACGGCTTAGCCTGCGCTCCATATTTGGCCATCCGCACGCTGCACCAGCTTGCCGTGGACGAAGGCGATCGTCATCCTGAGGGAGTCGCGGTCCTCCGCTCCGACGTTTACATGGACGACATCCTGTCTGCAGCTTCTACCCTCCAGGAAGCCAAGGAAATCCTCCGACAACTTTGTTATAGTCCGAATGACTATATTATATTATATTATATTAACATAGTTTTAATAATAAATTAGTAAGTCAGCTATTATATAATCATTTGAGAAACGTTCTCACGCTCTCGCGAAGCGCTTATCGCGAAAAGACGCAAACGCGATGAAACATAAGCGTTACGCCGAAACCCGCGGACCGCAAGCGAAGAATCAACCTGCTTCGCTTGCACCTAGATAAAAAGTGTGTGAATAAAAATTAGCCAATGAAAGAGCTTCTCTACATCTTCCCCCGAAAGATGTAGAAAAGGGCAGGAGACCACCGCGAACGGAAAGCGAGGCGACGAAGGCAGTCGCTAACGAAAATCCAAAAGGTCGAGTCGCTAACTAGAACCTAACTAGGAGTCGAAGACAAGCCGCAGAATATAACTATCACCTGTAATCCGATTATCGAGAGCGAGCACACCTAACTAATCACCCAGGTGGGATTATACATAATTAATCCAACTCAAGAAATAAGCGAAATAAAAGATTTATTCAAATACACAAGCGAAGTTAATCAAAGTGGAGACGCCCGCCGATCCTAGGATCCTCATCCTTCAGTCGACTGAGACCCCAAAATTTTCCGTGCCTTCCCGGAGGCACAACAATTTGGTGGCAGCGGTGGGATCTCAGCCGCAGGGCCGACGTCGTCTCTAAAATCTTCACAGCGGCGAAGACCTGTAAAAACACATACAATTATAACAAGTGTTAGACGGGCACGTCAGTAACTCTGACGGAAATAAGCAGAAGCCACGACTAGGAGAGAACGAGAGAGCAGACAACATAAACAGTGCAACGAGTGATAAGCAGCAGAGAATCGAAAAGGATCGCCGACGTCCAAGGACAACGCCGACCTACGACAACCTCACGGGCAGCGCATCAACACGAGCGACGACCCGCCGTATCTATCACCAACACGGAGCCGCCGTTATCAGCCCACGAGCGATCGAGTTGCAGCAGCAGCAGCCGACCCGTATAGAGCGTAACGATGCGAGCCGTAATACTGTAAGTCCGAATTTATTTGATAGCGTGAATGTCGGAAGGTGACGAAACACCCCGACAAGCGATTAAAAACCAATCGTGGTTGCATAGTACACCTGTACGGTTAACGACGCGAGTATTGCCTTTAACTGCGCAAAATCTCGAAAGCGTTCGTAGAAATTTAGACAGCGACTTGACAAACGAAAATAATACCGAGTTACCTCCGAACGTAATAAACGAACGAGAATTTCCGTTTACTAGTTTTGACGCGAGTATATTCGCAAAAAATCCAAGCGACTCCGTTCAAGTAACTCAAAACGAACCGCGTCGATTGCGACCGTATATCAGCCGAACTCCGAGTAGAGTATCTTCGCGAAGAGAATTTTCATTAACGTCATACGACAGCGAAATATTCGATCCCGAAGAAATTTATAGCGAAATAAATATGGCAGAAAATACAAACGCGAACGCAACTATTCCGCCAACCGCGATAGATGCCGAAATAAGCATACTCCGACAAACCCTTGCACAAATGGGACAGAATTTAGACGTCACGTCACAACAACCCTCCGTCGTAGCGCCCGGAGAAACTTCACAAATGCTTAATATAATACAAGCTATACATGCAGAGCTACATACACTAAACACACGTATGAATAGGATAGAAGCCGCACAGGCATACACACACACAGACGAACAGCGGGAGTCCGATTACGAGCCTCGTATGACTTACGGACGGACTGAGCGCGACGTACGAAATCGACGGAGTACTGCACGACAATATATGTCTCTAAAAGAAGCGCGAATGATGATACCCGAATTCGACGGTACATCGCGACACCGCCTTCAGGAATTTCTAAACGCATGCACATATACAATGCAAAACATACATCCCGGAGACGAAGAGTCTCTGATACAGGGCATACTATTTACTAAATTAAAAGGTAAAGCCATGCAAGTCTTCGAAACGCGAGACATACAAACGTTTGAAGAATTAAAGCAACAACTAGAGACCGCATACCAATGCAAGCAAAGTACTGCCCACTTGCAATTAGAATTTAATTCGCTAAAGCAGAAATATAATGAGACAGCACAAAATTTCGGGCAACGCGTCGACCAGCTCGCTATGAATTTATACGATTCAATGATAGAGGGAGAAAACCAAACGAGCTCAGAGAAACGCACTATCTTACAAACGATCCAAACCCAAGCATTATTAAATTTTCAATTAGGGCTACGAAGCGACTTAAAGGTACTCGTACGCTCACAACGATATACGACGCTTCAAGAAGCGATAGCCGGCGCGAGCGCGGAAGAGAGATTTATCGGACCTAGCACGTCACGGGCAACTAATTCCTCGCTAAATAAGCCTGAATCAACGCGGTCAGGACAGCGAACGACGGGACAATGTTATAGATGTGGAAAACCCGGACATTACGGACGAGACTGTCGTAGCACAATCAACGTTCTGCCGAAACCGGAAAAATCCTCGCGCGTATCCGCCATCGAAAAATTTTGCAACCATTGCAAAAAGCGTGGACATAACCGCGAAGAATGTTGGGAATTAAACGGACGACCGAAAAATAATACGCCCCCACGGAACAAGCCAGAGGATCGAAAAAAACCGCGAAGTATTAATAAAATAGATAATCAAAGAATCCGGCAGGAGAGAAATTCCGAGTCCGAACGTAGCAGCGATGAAGACGGAGAGCGCGGAGATAAGATTAAGAAGACTCGCGCGCTCGAATATCAGGTGACACACGTGCGCCGAACGCCGAGAGAAAGAGCGAGTTTAAATATAATTACTCTGCCTATGCGAGAAGCAAAACGCGGAAGAGTAAATATGCTTTACGATTCGGGAGCTACGATTTCATTGATAAAAGTGAAACACTTGAAGGGCGAGACCGAAATTTACAATAATAAAATAACCCTCGTTGGAATAACCGGTCATAAAGCAAAGACGATCGGAAAAATATACGCGACAATTGAGCTAAACGGAAACAAGATAAAACACGCGATTTACGTCGTGAAAGATGATTTCCCAATGGAATATGACGGGATCATAGGAATCGACTTCCTCCAGAAGCAGCAAGTCACGTGCGATTACAAAAAACGCGAATTACAAATCGGAAACGCCGTCCTAAAATTGCAACCGTACAACAAAATTATCTTAAAGCCGCGTAGTGAAACAATTATACACGCGATAACAAATGATAATAAAACAGGGATCATTCGAGCCAAAGAAACCGCCCCAGGAATCTATATCGGACGATGTTTGGTAGAACCGAAGAATTACCAATGTCCCATCAGTGTAATTAATACAACTGATGAGCCGGTCGAGATACACACACCCCTCGTAACCGTAGAAGACGCTTGCGAAGATAACGCGCACGAATTGTACACGATACATATAGACGAGACTCCGAATCAATTAACGCGTGACGAACGAATTTGACAATTGTTACACACAAAGCATTTAAACGAGGAAGAAAGGAAAGCGATACAGAAAATATGCGAAGAATATAGCGACGTGTTTTATTTAAGCGGAGAACCACTGTCATGCACAGCAACGTTAAAACACGAGATAAGCACGCGCGCCGATACCTCACCCGTCAATGTGAGACCGTATCGCCTTCCCGAAAAACACAAATCAGAAGTGAACAAACAAGTACAGGAAATGCTAAAAGACGGAATTATTAGTACAAGCATTAGCCAGTGGAATGCACCGTTATTAGTAGTGCCAAAAAAGACTGACGCAACAGGCAAACCGCGATTAAGAGTAGTAGTCGATTTCCGAAAGTTAAATGAATTGACTATAGGCGACTCATTCCCACTGCCGAATATTACCGATATTTTGGATCAGCTGGGAAACGCGAAGTATTTTACGACGCTCGACCTTGCATCTGGATATCACCAGATACCGATGGCCGAGCGCGACAAAAATAAAACAGCCTTCTCGACTCCCTACGGACACTACGAGTTTAATAGAATGCCGTTTGGACTTAAAAACGCGCCTGCGACTTTCCAACGACTTATGAACTCAGTGCTAACCGGGATACAAGGACTCCGATGTCTCGTTTATCTCGACGACATCGTTATATACGGATCCAGTTTAGAGGATCACAACAGAAGACTCGCGGAAGTATTACAACGCCTACGGAAACATAGTCTCAAACTACAGCCTGACAAATGCGAATTTTTACGAAAAGAGGTAATATACCTTGGACATATTATTTCCGAAAACGGTATACTGCCAGATCCGTCGAAATTAGAGGCGGTAAAAAATTTTCCGACACCACGGAAAGTAAAAGACGTACAATCGTTTATCGGACTAGCGGGTTATTACCGGAAATTTATAGAAAATTTTTCGCGAATCGCAAAACCGTTAACAAAATTAACGAAGAAAACGGAAACGTTCGAATGGAAAAACGAACAACAAATCGCGTTTGAAAAATTGAAGGAAAAATTAACGACAGCGCCAGTGCTAAAGTATCCGGATTTCAATGAAGAATTCAACGTGACTACCGATGCCTCGGACTATGCAATCGGAGCCGTACTATCACAAGG